GGTATCATTATATATTCATTTCACAGTAAAAAACTCAGGGTCTGAGATGTATGGTCTTTCCCAATCACTAGTTGGTAAGTAAGAGAGTCAGGACATGCACTCCAGTCATTTGATTAAAGAGGCAGGATCATAGAGTGATCTTAAAAGCAGAATTCTGAATGCAGATTGCTTGCGCAAAAATCCCAGCACTGCCCCACACTAGTTGTATGACCTTGGTTAAATCACCTCACATCAGTACCCTCATCTGTAAGATGAGGATCATCACAGTATCTACCTCATGATATTGTTATTTTATTGTTGTTGTAAGGATTCGATTAGTTAATATACATAAAAACTATATAAGCATACAGACTATATAAGTATTACCAATTATTATTACTGATTCCAAATCTACTGATGTTTTACTTCTTGTCTGCCTCTCCCACTCCTGTTTGTATGTGTGTTCTGAAATCTAGAATGGAGGTGGAAGGTAGGACTGATAGAGAAGAGAGGACTGGAGATGGCAGCAGAGAGCTTCTAGCAGGGACCTGTAGGCTCTGACCTAATCCATGACAAGAGGAATCTTGGTGCAGCACCGAAGGCAGGAAAGTAAGAAAGCCCTAAACTCTGCAGTTCTGTTTTGGGGCTAAACCAGCCAGGAAACAGAAGGAGATTCCATCTCCAACGACGATGTAGCTCTTTGCTGAGGTTACTCAATCCATTCACAGTTATCAAAATAAGATCTCCAGAAGCATCAAAAAACTAATTACATTTCAGATCACAAAGTTAATTTTTCAGCCTCCTAAGCTTAATATCTGTCCCCCATCTTGAATCTTTGCCCATTTGTGTGTATAGAAATCTTTACCTGTATTACTGATTATTATTTGGTTATGTGTCTAAAACAGATTTAAGAAAAAGATTTAACATTTTAAGCCCATCATGCATATTTTCAAACTGCTTTCCAGAAACAGTTGTGCCAGTTCTCACTAGTGCAGCCACTCCCACCCAACACTTAATGATTCAAAAAGGTAAAATCTTTGCTAAGGTTAGAGGAACAAATGCATATGGTTGATTAAACTTTTGTTTCTTTTATTATTGCTGAGGTCAACCTTTTAAAATTTATATTATTATAACTTTGGAAACTATATTATTTGTTTTAGCAACATTTTATGGCTTTAGCATACCTATTCTGTTGGGAGATTCTGTTTATTTAATGATTTCTACATAATCTCGATATAGGAACAGCATTATTTCATGGTTAATTAAAGGAAAATGCTCTCCCAGTGAGTTATTTGCTTATTTACTTTTTAAAATGTTTTAAACAGAAGTTTGGAAGCCTTCTCACAAAAATTCAGAAACTATTTTACACTTTCCTACATCAAACTGATGTACTTAAGAAAAATATCACTCATTTATTTTCTTTTGGTTAAAATACGTAGTTCTTAAAAGAATACACAGGAATGTAAGTTTTAGCAGAATACCAGCCCTTTGGGACCCAGCTCTTACAACTGTTCCTAGCATACAGTAAGTATTCTATTTGTTGTCCAAATAAGTACATCATTACCTCACAATTTGTATAAATCAGACTTCCAAAGATTTTCCAAGAATCAAAGATAATTATTAACATACAAGATCCACACTGTCAATACATGGTGTTCTGGCTGAAGTACATTTTACTGTCAGAATATCAGAATGTATTCACTTGGAGCTTGTGTTTTCTTTGCATTTCTAATTTTTTCACAGCCTAGACAATGCCCTCAGTCAGTCTTTCCTATCAGGAAGCTTCCATAAGCCTCTTATCCTTCTCCATCAGCGGGCAGACAGACTGAAAACCACAATCACAGAAAACTAACTAATCGAATCACATGGACCACAGCCTTGTCTAACTCAATGAAACTATGAGCCATACCACGTAGGGCCACCCAGGACAAATGGATCATGATGGAGAGTTCTGACAAAATGTGGTCTACTGGAGAAGGGGATGGCAAACCACTCCTGTGTTCTTGCCTTGAGAAGCCTATGAACACTATGAAAAGGCAAAAGATAGGACACTGAAAGATGAACTCCCTAGGTCAGTAGCTGCCCAATATGCTACTGGAGATCAGTGGAGAAATAACTCCAGAAAGAATGAAGAGATGGAGCCAAAGCAAAAACAACACCCACTTGTGGATGTGACTGGTGATGGAAGCAAGGTCTAATGCTGTAAAGAACAATACATAGGAACCTGGAATGTTAGGTCCAAGAATCAAGACAAATAGGAAGAGGTCAAACAGGAGATGGCAAGAGTGAATGTCAACATTTTAGGAATCAGCAAACTAAAATGGACTGGAATGGGTGAATTTAACTCAGATGACCATTATATCTACTACTGTGGACAAGAATCTCTTAGAAGAAAAGGAGTAGCCATCATAGTCAACAAAAAGAGTCTGAAATGCAGTACTTGGATGCACTCTCAAAAACAAGAGAATGATCTCTGTTTGTTTCCAAGGCAAACAATTAAATATCATGGTAATCCAAGTCTATGCCCTGACCAGTAATGCTGAAGAAGCTGAAGTTGAACGGTTCTATGAAGACCTACAGGACCTTCTAGAACTAACGCCCCAAAAGATGTCCTCTTCATTACAGGGGACTGGAATGCAAAAGCAGGAAGTCAAGAAATACCTGGAATAACAGGAAAATTTGGCCTTGGGGTACAGAATGAAGCATGGCAAAGGCTAACAGAGTT